GTTGCAAACTAGAAAATAAATCTTTCCTGACCAAATACTAGTACATTTTTTCTTTGATTAAGTTTTATCCTAAGAAAGTGGAAACCAATCTCTTAAATGTCCACATAAACTAGCAAATTACGTCTAGGCATCCATTATATTCCATTAAATATTGAAAAGTAAAATAACAACTTCTGACTAGTACCTTTAATAGTACTTAACTAGTGCCTTAATATCTGTTTCAATGTGTATACAAATGTTATAAGCCCCTTCACCAAAAAGTCAAGTACCCAGTTATATTACCATAGACCCCAAATAGATATTTAAAACTGTAATCATATAACATCAAATACATACATATCGCACTAACTTATACAAATATACATTCCATGATAGGTGCATCAGATGAGATCAAAGGCCAAAGGTCATATTATGTAACTCTTTGAAAGCTTCATTCACACAATATATATAAATCCCTACACCAGAAAAAGCAACCATTTCTATTTTCATATATCTCAACCAATCATTGTTTCACTTATTGTGAGGATACAGTACAACCTTGTTAATTAGGAACATTGTGTTAAACAAATTTTTATGACATCAATGCAATTTTGCTGGGGTCCACTACTTTATATTTTATTTGTTTGTTAACCCTGATATAACAATGTTTCAATTTAATTAGGTTCCTCTCTACCGACTATAGTGCCCACTTCTAGTAATGCATATTCACCCAAAATATATCTCCCAAAACCCATCTCTACTATGGCATACCCCTAATGAATATATCGACCATTACCTCTTATGATAATATTTACAGATTACAGAAGCTCCCACTTCAAGTATTAGACATATATAATATACTTATCAAATGATGACGCAAATATAATAATAAATTTTTTCCTACCAGTGCACTTTACATTGTAATTATTATTAAACCAATTGATAATCAAAACACGATGATTTACATGCTACACAAGCACAAAATGCCAATCTAACAAAATTAACGTGCACATCCTACCGGCTAACCATTGAATAATTGGGTGGACAGTGGCAAATGTAGATTAATGTTTTGCCACAGGCGGTAGTGCCGGAAACAGTCCAGTGACGTATCCACTAGATAATGATTTGATGATATGTACTTAACAAAAAATGTGTATGTTTTATTAAATCAAAAATAATATCAAAATATTTACAGGTTATCAATAGTCATTAGTACACAACACAAAAGATATATATAAAATAAAAAGTGACAAGAAATACAAGATATATATAAAAAAAAAAAGGTGGCAAGAAATACAAGATATATTTAAATCAGCAAAACAATATAATGCGCATTACGAAGCCATAGAGAGAACAAAATAATAATAATAATAATAATATTTAACTTGTATATAGCGCTTAATACAAATGTCTCTAAGCGCTTTACAAAAGATACTGTTGATTATAATCTGAGTCCCACTAGCTGCCAAGACCAAATACGTCCTGTCAAGGGCCAACGAAGCCTGAACCCAGTCCACCAAACCACACGATCTGCATGAGTTCCATACTTAAATACCACATGATCAGACCAACACTAAACATAGCCTATATTAAACCTAACATGCAGCTACGTGTAGCTTTCTTCATCACTATCTGACCATTTCTCTTCACACCCCCATAATTCCTGCTAAAGTACATAAAACTCTCATTTCGCTTATTCAAATTCATTTCCAAACAAAAATTCAATTGCGGTGTGCGTCCCGCCCCTACCGACCCCGAACTGGACGAAGAAACACAATTTATGTGCACGGCACTAAATCAGCCACTTCGTATCCATTCTAGGCCAAGGCACGATAAAATTAACGAAGAGAACCACTATATGCTCCCGTTAAAAATATCTCAATGGCTCCATATAGATAATATAATGATACACAATGCACTATATAATAAATGAGCATAACTTAGGCATAACTCCAATAATTTACAAAACAAAATACGTTTACTGGAAAACAGACTCATTAAAAGTCTTTCTCTTGTCAAAAATTGAACCTCTATTTTCTAAAATGCACAGGATTTTTTTTTTCGTTTTAGCCAGATGGTGTTCTATTTCCTTTTTTTTTTTTTTTACAAATGATTTTAAAGCAATAATATTTGGTATCTGATCTTTGAATTTGCAAAATATAAATATAATATTTCACCAGTTAAATAAGATGGTTACAAACTTGTCTGAAAGTACACCAAAAAGTTTTTTTTGAAAATTGGTAAAAGTACAATTTGGATCATAATTTTGTAATAACAAATTTAATAAAACTTCCTACATTGAGGAGAATTTGTCACATTCACAAAATAGATGAACCACAGTTTCTTCCTCTTTGTCAGACTAAACACAATTTGGTGAATCCTTTCTTTTAATTTTACATACAAATCCATTAAAATCTAAAGCTTCATGAAAAAAAAATGAAAAAAATGAACGTAAGCTAGTATCTATTGTACAACTAAACCTTGTGTACGTTTTCCCAAATAATATGTGTGGGGACAGTTATTTTGTCATTCAAATATTCGTATCAGGAAGATATTGAACATTTAATATTTGTTAGCATGACGAGGCACTTTCTTTCGTAGCAATTAAATTATTAATCAAAGTATCTTGAACATCTACATTATCTAACAATATATCATTTAACCATACCTCTGGAAGATGTTTCATAAACAAGTTGTACTATCTCCTATCTGATTGAGGGATACCAAAATCCAAAATCAATTCTTCAAATAGTTTATGCCCAGGAAAAGGTGGGTTCAGTAAATTAGAAATTACAAAGACATTCTTATTATAACAAGTTTCATAATAAAAATGCCTTTTAGATTTTGATCGGATTAATCTATTAAACCACAATGATTGACAAGCGCCTAGCTCAGAAAATGTACAATTAAATGATTCTACATTAGCATATCCCCTGCTAATATGTACTTGATGTGTGAAGTAAATATATGTAATTCTGAAAAGTGTTGTGTCCACATGAAATACTGTACATTCACACATATGTGATGAAACCATTTCATCCTTCAAGAGTCAAAACGATGCTGTAGGTGTTATACTCCTTTTGGCTCTCAACAGATGATTTATTAACAAACAATCGTAGATAGCAGCTATGTACAACAAAAATATTGCTAAAATCAATGAATTAAAATATATATTTTGTTTCTAGCATAGATATAATTCTATATATATTCCAAATATACAGTATGAGTCAAAAAAAGTCTGCACCTAGAAAATTACTAATTATTTAAGAAATTGTCCATGAACAGTAAATTATTATACATCTTATGAAAGAGTGTTTCATCCCAAATCATTTAGTAGCATTTTTGTGTGGTATGTGTTAACGATTGGATGAACAGGAGGCACTGTTTGCGACGGTCCCGCCCCCCCCCCCACTCAGGGGTCGGAATGACCGCATGCGTGTTGCCAAAATGTCCGGTAAAGGGGTACTTTTCGTGCGACAAAGTTCGGCCCGAGAATTGTAAAAAAAGGGGTGTATTTGACTTTCACCCGGAGATTTCTTCAAAAAAGGGGTGTTTTTTTCTTCTTTTTTCTCATCTCTTTGGCCTCCTGAGAAATTATTCCGAATTTAGGGGGGTACATTGAGCATTTTTCCTGATTTAGGGGGGTCTCCAAAGCAGGAAAAGGCCGCGAAAAGCCCGCGAAAGGGGGGTTCGAAAATGTTGGCAGTCCTCAGATAGGGGGTGCTTTAAAAAATAGGGAACGAGCATATGCGTACCCTAAATAACACTGAGTGGGGGGGGGGGGCCGGGGCGACGGTGGACAAATCGACTTGCTGATAAGGGTATTATCTTTGAATCGAAGAAAATTCTTTATGAAGAAAGGACTTTTTATGCCAATCTATATTCATCGAAAGAAAAACTATTCTATAAAAATGATCTACTATTGAATAACTTAGATATACTATGTGTAAATAACGATGACAACAATGTTTTGGGGTCAATGATCTCAGAAAAGGAGTGTTGAGATTCAATAATTTAGTTCTTTTTCAAATGACAAATCACCAGGAAGTGACGGATTACCAATTTAATTTTACAAGACCTTTTAGAATGAAATCAAATTTGTATTATGTTCAGTTTTAATAAATGCTTTGAAAGAAAAATATTACCCCACTCAGTGAGATTAAGTATTATTACGTAGCTACCAAAGAAAGGAAAAGAACCTGTTATTTTTGAAAAATTGCCGACCAATCTTTTTATTAATCAATAATTATAAGATTCTTACAAAAATTATTTCTCTTCGAATGAAAACGGTTCTATCACCTCTCATAAGTCAAGATTAAGGCGGTTTTCTCAAAGGGCGGTTTATTGGCGGAAATATAAGACTTTTTTTTAAAATTGGTATTCAAAATTACTCTTAGGTCACAACATCGATTGCCTTGCACTCTGTATTGATTTTGAAAAAGCATTCGACACGGTCGAATGGCCCTTTATATACAGTGCGTCCCAGAAAAAACGAAACCGAGGATTATCGATGTTTTATCATAACTTAATCACAATTATGATTAATAAAATACACATATTTGTAAAGTTTAGATCATCGTCTTTCATTTGATGCAACTCATATGATGCATATTTCATGCATGAAGTATTTCGTCTATGGCTGATTGTCAACGAAACGGGGTTAAATCTTTTGTCAATTCTGCTTGTTGCTACGGCAGGGAGCCTATAAAAATGAATTCGTTTAATACCATTATGAAAATGCAAGCCTTACTTTAAACAAACAGAACTTTGTTATTCCTTGCTCATTTTTCCTGATTGAGGTGTCATATGAAAGAGCAGAAACTGTACTTTTTAGAAATGTGAATTTCTATTTGAAATTCAGATACCGTCCGCCAAATGACTTTTTGGTTCCCTCTCTTCAAATTGATTTTAATCACTCATATGAGCTGCATCTATTGAAAGAAGAGGATCTAAGTTTTACAAATATGTGTCATTTGTTAATCATAATTGTGATTAAATTATGATAAAACATCGATAATTCTCGGTTTCGTTTTTGCTGGAATGCTCTGTACAAGGCTTTACGAAAATTCGGTTCCAATGAGCAGTTTGTAAAAAAGTAAAAGAGTTGAAAAAATTAAACGTTCTTTGTTATGCAATGACTACGTTGATGGTGGTCTAAAAATGCTACATTTGTTATGCTTTAATCGAGCAATACAAATTTCATGGATCAAACGATTCTTAGATCACGAAAATAACGGGAAATTGAAGTTGTTTTTCAAACAGTCCCTTCGTTAAAATAGCGAGGAAAACTTTATATTATAGAACTTGTGCCAGAACCATCTTACCTTTAATCCAAATATTGAGTCTTTTTGGAATTATGTTTTAATTTCATCGTCATATTACATATACTACAACCCTGTTAAGTTTAAGGAAATACTATCTCAACCTCTGTGGTTTAATTCTCACATTTTAGTTGATGGAAAAACAATATATTTCAAAAAATGGTTTGATTCATCCTTGTTTAATATATATGATATTTTTACACGAGACGGACATTTTAGAACTTTTGAAGTTATTGTTCAGAAATATGGTTATGTACCTATTATGGTATATAATTCGCTTATATGTGCTATCCCAAATTAATGGAAAAGGGAAAGTAGAAGCCAATCTAGTAAACGGGTACCTGGTAGGAATTTATTCCTTGAAATGCTAGAGCGCCGTATGGCAGTCGTGCTAAAGCCGGGGTAATAATCGGGAGCGCCAGGAGGGTCAAATCTGACTGACATGAGCGCTAAACAAGAACCCATTATCATTATTATTATTATTATTATTATAGAAAAATTAATTAAGTGAACAACATGATGATAGGTTACACAATTTCCTTAAACACAAAGAACTTTCTAAATTGTGTTACTCTTCTTTTATACGCAGTTATACTATTGCTTTATTAGAAACAGATCAACAACTCAAATGGTAAAATGATCTGACGAAATATGGAGGTCTTGTTTTTTTTTTTTTTTTGAATTTTTGATTCAAAATATATGTAAATTTTGTAATCAAAATCAACAAACAATAATTCATTAATTTTTGGAATGCCTTTTTGTCTCATGATTCTGGAATGCTTTGTACAGTTGGCTAATTTCTAAAAAGATCCGACGCATTAGATTATCACGTATAGAAATTTGCTTAGGAACATTAGTAAGAGAAAACTTTTATCTGGTGAATATTATGATATTAAATGGCAAATATTTTATCTTTTCATGTAAATGTCAAAACATCGTTCCTTAACTCAAATCCTTCCTATTTTCTTGAATACAATTAGAAAAAACAGAACGCATAATATCTTTTAAACGCAACCGTTTTGAACTCCATAAAGAAAAATGGAATGGTATCTGTATAGTATAATGAAATCTTACTGAATGATATTTTATGAGATGTTCTATTTCATTCAATCATGTCTCTGTATCATTGAAGAAAAAAACGTATTTATTTTGAGGTTATCTTTTGTGACAATGTGAATTGCAAATACAAAGTTTCTTATGGGATGTTTGAATAAAACATATTGGGATTCGGTCTTTGCAGATATAAATGATGTTTAAAATAATTAGCAATTCTCTAGGTGTAAACCTTTTTTTGACTCACACGGTACTACTACCCAGTAAAGTATATGTAAAAATAAATCACCCAATACCTTAAGCATAATTCATTAATAGTAGCATAGAATTTATATAGCGCTTTTTCCCCTGGATAAAAGAACTTTACACGAGGCATGTTCGAGAACAATTTAACACGAAAACATCTTTATAAAGTTAAGTTCAAATCCAGTTTGAAAAACAAGAAATGAAAGAATGCTCTTTTTTGGACGAGGGCTGTTCGGCAACTGTGATTTCTGTCCATGAATTTAAAAGTTGTGTCAGAGCTTTTGATGGCATCAGTAGTATTGGTCGTGTACCTATACAAGCAATGTAAAATATGGAGAAAGAGAGAGAGAGGGAGAGAGAGAGAGAGAGAGACGGGGGCAGTTAATCAAAGCTTTCCATGATAGAGAAAATATATAGTCGAAGTCAATGTTGGTTTGCTGGCATTGCATTCATTATTTTCGGCATTACTGATTCAGCCAATTTGAACAACTATACTGATAGAAATTATAACTTTAAAAAAAAAAAAAATTGTGGATTTCTTGTCTAATTTCATTCAAACTTTCACCAGTCTGTTTCTCCAATTTGTCTACTTTCTTTTAGAGTCTAATAAGTTTGGTCTTCCTCTTCTTATTTATTCCGTAAGACATGTTTTATGTAATCCTTTTATTTCTTCATAGTACTTAATTAACTGTTAACCAATAGAATGCCATGTTAAAGGTAAAAACCAGTATTGGAAACGCCCCAATTTTAAAAAATGAAATGGAGGCTCCTATTACCTATCATGTGAAAGAATATGTTTTAACTAACACATGATGATAGCAAAATTGCCGGGAAACCGCCTACTAATTGAAATATTTGGTAAATTAGTTTATCTATTGTTATGTGAGAGATAAACGCACGTGTCGCGCACGTGTGCGTAGTCCCATATACATCTTTCTGTGTACAGTGCATGTAACTTTACGAAGACTGGGTCAAATTTCTTATCATTTTTATGATTCCAGAACCTTGCAGTACACACCAATACTTATATGCTAGATGATCAACCTTTTCTGATCGATTCCACAACGTTTCTTTCACAATACAATCGCATGACCATAACTGGTCTTTATCTTTAAGTTCGTGGAGGTTGATTTTATACATCCTAGCTATACACATTTTGAAAGTTATTTGTACACTTTAATTCAAAAGATAGGAAATGAATTGTGGCTTACCAATCTACTATTCCCTGATGGTGCCATGTACGGTCGAATAAACCCCTCGTTATAAGTGATCTAAAATAAGAAGAAAATGACACAACGATTAGAATAATGATAGTTATAATAATGATAATAATAGTAATACAAATAATGATAATTATAGTAATATTGATAATATTAATAATGATAATAAATGATAATATTGATACCTGTTCCTGTACCATTAACTAAGACTATAATTTATATCATCACCATGGTTACTGGATTACTGCATGTATTAATCTGCACATTGCAGTAAACTTTCCAGCTCATTTCCCTTTTCACGTGCACACCCAACAATGACGTTCATATCCTACCAGGTACCCATTTAACACCTGGGTGGAGAGGAACAATGTCAATACAATGCCTTACTTAACCGTGCCATGTGGTATATGACTCCTAGTTTGCTTCAGTTTATTCTTTTTACAGATTTTTAGAAAATTAATTTGATTTGAATGTTTCTATCATCTTGTTCTGTTCCCAATGTAGTTGTTTCTTTTGTTTCTATCATCTTGATCAGTTGGTCATCAAGTTTATCCGTTTTTTGTTGTGTGTTTTTGTTGGGGGGGGGGGGGTTGTTCAATGTGGGAATGCATCAGCCATGCACCTCAACAACCGACGGACACTTCACTAAAAAAAAATGAAATGAAATGGTATTGGAATTAAACATGTTGTGTATGAATTGTCATTTATATTTTTTTCAATAAAATCAGATTACTTGTGTTGAAGAAAATGGTGAACAGATGAACATTTTCAGTGCATTATTGACGCAATAATACGATGGCAAAGACTTCCGAGATAATCAACCCAAGAGCAATTCAACACCGTACTGTATTGCCCGTAGAAATACTTTTGGGAATATGTACTATGTCATGGTCATGTTCGTACATTTTAACCCGTTGCCTACTGATACCGAGTGACCCCAGTATAAAGCCTATGACACTGATACCGAGTGACCCCTGTATAAAGCCTATGGCACTGATACCAAGTGACCCCTGTATACAGCTTATGGCACTGATTCCGAGTGACCCCTGTATACAGCCTATGGCACTGATACCGAGTGACCCCTGTATAAAGCCTATGGCACTGATACCGAGTGACCCCTGTATACAGCCTATGGCACTGATACCGAGTGACCCCTGTATAAAGCCTATGGCACTGATACCGAGTGACCCCTGTATAAAGCCTATGGCACTGATACCGAGTGACCCCTGTATACAGCCTATGGCACTGATACCGAGTGACCCCTGTATACAGCCTATGGCACTGATACCGAGTGACCCCTGTATAAAGCCTACGGCACTGATACCGAGTGACCCCTGTATAAAGCCTATGGCACTGATACCGAGTGACCCCTGTATACAGCCTATGGCACTGATACCGAGTGACCCCTGTATACAGCCTATGGCACTGATACCGAGTGACCCCTGTATAAAGCCTACGGCACTGATACCGAGTGACCCCTGTATAAAGCCTATGGCACTGATACCGAGTGACCCCTGTATACAGCCTATGGCACTGATACCGAGTGACCCCTGTATAAAGCCTATGGCACTGATACCGAGTGACCCCTGTATAAAGCCTATGGCACTGATACCGAGTGACCCCTGTATACAGCCTATGGCACTGATACAGAGTGACCCCTGTATAAAGCCTATGGCAATGAAGGAATTCAGTGGTCAACGGGTTAATAGATTATGGACAAGATCACTGAAATTTCCTTGAGTTGATTGATGTGTCAAGCTGTTCAGTTATCAACATCAAAGTTTGTTCGAAAATTATGAATAGAATTAGGTTTATTCACAGAGATTCAAATGGTTTACTCACCCCTGAGGTGGATGCACCACGGGAGTAGCCAGGCTTACGCATGTTGCCAAGCTCCATGTCGGACGGGTAGTCGGCCAACTGAAAAACCTCTCCGCGATAGCCAGTTCGTTCTCTCTCTCTGTTTGGGCCGAGTCGACTGATTGACCTCCCTAATTTCCTGTCATAAGACATCATCTGATGCACTCTGAAGAACGACATCACGAAGAGGAAGAATATGAGGTAGACGATTACCGCACCTCCGACGGCAATGCCTGCTACGGCTCCGTCACTGAGGCCTGTTGACTCAACTGTGTAATGTGTACAAATAATATCAAACCGGTTAAACTATAAAAGAAAACTCTGCATTATGCTAAGTGATTTATAAAGTTTGCTGAAGTCTGAAGTGTTACAGTTGTGATACAAAACCGCCATCTGCATTATGTGAAGTGATTTGCTGAAGAATAAGAAAAAACCCAAACCATAATGCAAGTGGTTACAAAAGATTTGCATAACAGTTATATGAATGTAATAAGGCCCATAATTTGCTTAGTTTTGGGGTAATCTAGAAAGATTTATCAAAAGAATGATAAAGTTGCATCATGATAACAAATTTGTTAAAGGCACGAATGCTTCTATTTAGTACAGAAAGAAATTAGGAGCGTACGGAGTTGAAAGGGCGCTATACAACTTTGTTCTGGCTCCCAGGTTCATAAAGGGTATTCTCCCACACACACATACACACACCAAGAGACGTACGCAGGGGGGGGGGGGTTAACCCCCTTAATTTTCTAAAGGTTTTTAAAAAATATATATATGGTCAAGGAGGAACAAAAAAGAGCGTTCCCCCCCCCCCCCCAGGCCAATGAACGAAATATCTGACGACGTAATTTTCCAATTTCCGGGCCCCCCACCCCCCCCCCCAAAAAAAAAAAAGTGCTCTAACCCCCCCCCCCCCCCCGATTGAAATTATAATGATCGTGTCTCTGATTTAAATGAAAAACAATCCACTCTACACCATTTAATTTACTCCAAGTTCATGTTTGAAAGGAAAATAGTATCTGACAACAAAAAGGTTAATGCATGGAGATTAATAATGGATGGACTAATATAAGGCACATGGCAAAGATTCAAACAGAAAAATACAAAATTACAACATGGTTTTGTAACAAACCTTCCAATCTACAGGTAATTAATTCATCCTTCCTTTAGTAAAGATTCCTAAGGTGAAACGTAAAATTCAAACCTTAAACTATCATGCATTGATAGATTTTCAATTTTATGAACTATATCAACTCTCTATTTCCTTTTTGTTGTTGATTTTAAACAAAACAAATTGCTTTCCTTTTTCTCCGGAGTTGATTTTGTTCTGTAGATGAATTACAATCTGATTGAAACAGAACATGATTTAACTAAATACAAATTTGGTATTAAATGAATAGATAAATTTGATGAAGATTTAAAGTAGAGAGTCCTCTGCTCTGCAAGGCTGAGTTCACTCCAAAACTAATTTGCTTTTAATATATTCAGAAAAACAAATGAAACAGCGCCCTAAAAATTGGATAAAATCGGAAAACTAATAAGGAAGTTATGATTGTGTTGAAGTACGAAAAACTATGGAACTTAAAAAATTACTACACAAATTGCCAATTTGGTTATCAGTTTGTGATGTCATTGCCTCACTATTTACTTATGGCTTCATATATTTTTATCCCATTAATTTCCCTTTTTATCCTCCAAAACTTGATTTTTTTTCCCCCATGCCTTTGCCCTGGTTATATGATTTGTATCATAATGCGTGCACTACATTTCACAAATCTTTCATGAACTTTAAAGAATTGATACTATTTTCTGAATATTGTACATTCATTATAATTTATTTTTATGTTAATAGCTTATCAAAATTCACATCTTTCATGATTTAACTTTAAAAATGACTCTTCATTATGAAATCCACACAAGAGCATATTACTATCAACATAACTTTGATGCTGGTGTGAGAAAATAAGATTTCTAGGGCGGAAATTGGAAATTTATATTATCAATATAAAGAAAACAACTAGTGGATAGTGAGGCAGGGACGTCACAGACTCATGAGTGAGTTGCCAATTTTTCTTGTGATTTTCAAAGTGTTTCGTGTCATTAAAACTTTCTTATGAGTTATCCGATTTTGCTCAAACTTGTTTTTAGATTGGTTTGTCTGATTTTCTGCTTCTAGTGAACGTAGGTTGTTTATGGAGTGGACTTAACAAAGTATTTTCTATTTAGCAAAGCAATATCACATACCAACTCACTATAAAGTGTTAAGGCACATATTTATCGTTTGGACTGTGATGTAGACAGTTTACTCGTTTACTCAGTTTACTGAGCAGAAACGAATCCACCAACTCCTAATTGTAGATTAATGGTTAGCCTTCTGTTATTTATTAATCTTTAATTGTTGACACCCACACACACGCACACTTCCCCTCCCCTTCCGCAATCCCGATTCACATATCATACCCAATGGCATACACCCTGCAATATTAAGTCATTGGTAGGTGATTGGCTAGTTTGGTAGTAATGTCGACCGAGCCACATTTGTATGGCAGTGTTACAGCGAGCGAACTACCGGAGCAATATGAATTAACGTGAAAATGAATAATCATCTAAAACACTAAAACAAGAACAACAACAACAAAGACAAAATCAATGTTTACCAGCAGCGGTTTGAGATGTGACTGGATCCGAAGTTACAGGTATCGCTGTCGTTGGTACGTTCATAGTAGTAGGAATCGGAGTTGATTCTGTTGAAAACAATGATTACAAGTAACGATCAATAACAAGGAACACAAATATAAATAAAGGAGGAGAGATACAATAAAACAGCGTAATGTATATACGGTTGAATGAATTACTCATGATCAACAAACAATAAATTACGATAGACAGAAGAAGCAACAACGGTCATTGGCTCTCATCGTTGTTCTTAAAAGCTCATTCACATAGGATGAGGTTACCGAACAAAATGTTCCAAATATTATATATTTTTAAAAACATGAGGATTGCCGCTCTTAAAAAAAAATGAAACTTAAATAATTATTTAAAGGATACGTGAGCGATACGGTACCCATACGGTACCAATACGGTATGATACAAAAGAATATTAGCATAACCATTCTATACTATTGTCCTATGAGCTTCCTACACTTAACGTTCCGAGAAAGAGGATCAGTTGTGCACATAGTTCTTTAAAGGTAATACAAAGTTTTTGTAAGGGGTCATGAATTAGCTTCAAATGAACATTTTGGAAGCATGTGCGATTTTAAAATACTCAATGATCGTTGTCGCTGTTAAAATCGAGCCTAAAGTGATGAAATTGTAAATAATAAACTCTTTATGTTGTATAGCTCCCCCTCAAGACTGATATTACTTTAGCTTTAAAAAATATTTTTTGACTACAACCGACCAATTTGCTATTCCGTTTGGAAATTATTTATCAGAACTGCATATTCTGAGATTTTCATGGTCTCATCTACCATGTAATGGCCTCAGGCGCTATTTGAAGTATTTGAAATTTACCGGGAGCACCGGTAGATTTTGATTATTCAATTTTCTCAAAAGTAGAAGTGTTTTAGAGGCTAAATTTGCAAATGTTCATAAAAAATCCACAGGGGCATCCCAATATATCAACATTTTAACGAATTACTATCCATCCAATTTTCAAAATTTCTCACAACTTTGCATTACCTTTAAAATGTTATTCTACTCTCAGCCTTCACTAATCCATAAATTAACTAGTCATGTTTTGTCTCAGGTATTCGCATCGATACTGAATAATCTCATAACTTACAAACAATATCATGATTGTCTCTTACTGGAATATCATCTACACATACATGTACATAAACTTCACATTCGCTCTAATTAACAAACAATAACTCAATAAATGTATTCATTTGTTTTGGCTTAAAAAGTATTTCACAATGAATGTATCAAAGGGAATGTGACATGCTGATATGAAAAGAAACCAATAAACCATATCCAACTTGAAGCTGTCCAATACCAAGAACACAAATGAATACATGAAATGGTTGGATCTGGGAGAAACAGATATGTAAGTGGTAAAAAGGAATGGATTGAGATGGATGGGTCTTGAGTTGAGGAAAGAGGATGATGAGCCTGTGAAAAGAGCGTGGGATCTGGAAGTGGATGGCACAAGAGGCAAAGGAAGAGTGAAGATTTCTTAGAAAGAAATGGTGAAGAAAGAAAGCAGTAAAGTTGGTTCAAATGCGGAGGGTACTCGAGACAAGAAGAAAAGGAGAGAAGGAGTGTCATCATGACCCCGAAAGTAAATAACCCCTTGTAAAAGGACAATTGAAAGAAAGGTTTTGGATGTTTACACACCGGAGGTAGTACATTCTAGTCCTTCAATGTTGGAGTTGTCTGTCCTGAACACCCATCTTCCAGATACACAGATATTCGATGTCATTTCGATATTGACGACGGCATCTGTTTGAGATCCAGGGACACTATAAAAGTTCACTCCGTCACCAGCGTTGAATCCAACCTAAGAGTCAAGCATGTGAACTTTGAAGCAATACTTCCGAACAAATGGAACTTGATACGGGTTCGATTCATGTTATAGTCCGCCTCATTTCATGTCATATTGCCCTGTTCTGTACCCCCCCCCCCTCCCCAACAACAACAAAAACAAAGAAAGAGTGAAAATCGTCAGATTTGTTTGACCTATAGTTGATGAGAAACTAAATTGACATACTTCTGACTTTAAGCTACTGTAAAGCTATTTTTCTTTGTTTGGTTGGAAATAGCCCAAACGGAATCAGCATTTGTTTTTGTATTACTGATTGAGATCTGCATTACCTTTGATTTTCCTATTGTTCTCTTATGTTCCAGCAGTGCATCATTAACTGCACCGAAACATCACCCCTTTAACCTATGTGACTGCACAGTTCACTTCAGCCTCTAGCCTTCCTGACTACACTAAAACCAATATCGTGAAAAGGATCTGCCAAAAGTATAACCCTAATACCAGAGTCACAACCGACACCAAACTGATCCAAAGTTACATTACACCAAATGTTGGAGAATTACTCGGTCTGGCCTCGACTTGGAGTCGGTTTGGCGGTGTGACTGATGCATTATGTCATATAAATGGGAGGGGCTACTTTAATACATGAGCTCGTTACCATTTACACAACCGTGTCTCTTGTTTATAAGAAGAAGGTGGTACAAACCAAGCGACATAATGATTTACCGTAGCTGGGATATCACCATCTGATGCTAATACCCAGTTGATATCACCGTAATTAAAGATGACGAAGGAGTATCGGCCATCTGTCACCATAACAGCTTGAAAGGAATTCTTTGAAGTAAAACATCAACATTATCAAAATCTTAATCTTGATACAAATATTAAATATTTAATGAAACAAAACGGATAACACGGCAGGATAGTGAATAAAATTACTTCCAACTTTGTGAAATTTCAGTGATAGACAAAGGCGTATCAAAGTGAAAAAAGGCAAAAACATAGATTGCTTAACGAACCAAAATGAATAATAAGTCAGTTACTGTTTTACACATTGCTAAATGTTTGATCAGCTTGATTTCCAGGAGGTTTACACTTGGGTCCAATATCTGCTGTAATCCTCTAGTCGTGTATGCAAATTGGCCGACAGGACATTTCAAAAGGGCAAATGTCCTCTAGTAAATGCAAGATTCTATAAGAAATGCCGAATAATTTTTGTTCTCGTGAAATTTCGTCGGGTTATTTTTTTTTGTTATTACATCGCCATAACATAAAATAGTACCCACAAATCCATAATACAGTGGCGACAGATGATAAATATGAACAGGGTCAGCGGTGAACTATCGATTAAGTCACTGTACTTACGAGTGCACCTGAAGAAACATAGGAAGCAACGCTGTCCCAGGTCGCGATGAACATCCATGACGACAAAAAATCAACAAATGATGCTCTTATAATATCATCAGCTTTGAGGAATATGCCGTCGTTTTGAGAAGGTCGTAAGACTCCTCGATAGAATATAGTCCCGCCATTATTCGTGTTAACATCAGCCAAGAATGGGGTTATGATGGGTATGCTGGATGGAAACGGATCGTAATAACCACCAAAAGAGCTCATGAACGAGATGGCACCGTTAGTGCTGACCTGCATCAACATGTATATAAAAGCGATTGTAGTAGATTTTAGTGACAAGGCTGGCATATTTAGAGAGAATGGGAGGGAAAGCACGAAAACGAAAACAAAGAAATGGGGAGACAGATGGCTTATGCCGAAAGGGTGGGTAGCGTCGCGTCGCGGCGCGTTGACTTGAACGCGACCATTCGTCCAAAGCCCCACCCCCGGTTTGGCAGAAAGGGTGCGTTGGGAGGGTCGTGTCGCGTCAAACGCGACTATTCGTCCAAAGCCCCCCCCCCCCTCCCCCAGGGTGCGTTGACTAGTCTTCCACATCAGTCGTTTATAATAGAATTTACGGAATAGTAATTTAAGTCGTTTAGATTCAAATAATCAAGATAGAAACAGATTAAAAATTAAATAAAACTAGTTTTACGTAGTCTTGCAGATCAGGCGTTTATAAGAATTACATCAATTTATGAATTCAATAAATATTTTTAAAGGCCAAATAAAAATAATATCCATTTCTTTCTATGTATAGAATTGTTTTTTGATGTAAACTAGTCATGCTTAACAGTCTTTACAAATGAAATAACAAATAAATAAATAACGGAGTAGACCTACCACCTAAATGCACCCTTTCGCAGGCACGTAGCCAAAGTTTGATGTTGGGGGGGGGGCACGTGCCCCCCCCCCCCCCGGTGGGTACGTGCCTGCCCTTTCGGGATAAGCGGGCGGGGGGGGGGAGGGGGCTTTCTGAATTCCATACATAGAAAGAAATGGATATTATTTTTCGTTATTTTAATAAATAAACGACTGATATGCAAGACTAGGAAAACACGTTTATTAGATTTTTAGATATCATAGTAAATTATTTGATTGTGTTTCTTGTTATTTATTGATTTAATTCTTATAAACGCCTGATGAGCAAGACTACGTAAAAACCAGTTTGATTCAATTTTTAATCTGTTTCTATTTTGATTGTTTGAATTTAAACGACTTAAATTTCTATTCCTTAAATTCTATTATAAACGACTAATGTGGAAGACTAGTCAACGCACCCTTTCGGCCAAACCGGGGGGGGGGGTGTGATGGGTGTATCGACCGATTCTAGATACATTGTACCAACCGTCCTGAGGACGAGTTAAGTCTAGTTTTGGAGTTGAAGAACGAAGCTCGAAATGAAGATCAGCCCATGAAATCTAACCACTTTGTGTTGTGTAATCTGTTGTTGTGGAATTAAGGACCTGGGGACAACGGGTAGAGGAAACCACACGTAACAAATGGGGGCTCGGCCAGGTATATAAAGTGGAAAGTATGATTTTCAGGTGATTTTCGTGATCATATTAGCGCTGGCAAACTAGCATGTTGGATTACATTGCGTGCGACAAGTTTCATACACGTTACTTATGAGCGGACTGTTCGGTGTGTACTGTGTGTGTGTTGTCGATGTCCATACAATGCACCCAGTGCCACAGTGCTAATCTCCTGTGTGCCAAGTTAATTTTAAGGTTGGTTCAAGTGCGTGTTATTTAAATCTTTACAAAAAACAAATCGCTGAATTACTCGAGAAAATCCAATCTGACTGTTGTATACAAAGACGCGTAATCCAAAGCCGATAATCTGATGCACGCGATGGTACTTTCAATAGCGCTGTAAAAGCACTCAGCACGGTGCAATGGGCATGAACAATAACTGTTTTTACATATGCGTGCTAGCGTGCACAAAGCAGACAAACGGTAGCGCGCTCGCGGTGTGTGTGGTGAGAAAAACATTGTTGTCTTCTCATGTTTCTGCATGGATTTGCAGGGTTTGACTGAGGGTTATAACAGTCAGGTTGTCTAGATTTCTCGGATATTGTAGAATCTAGGTGTTGTAAGGTTGGCTGGGGATTATAACAGCCAGGCTCTAGTTCTTTCTAGGTTATTTAGGAGGCTAGGTTTTTTGCATGATGGCTAGCGAGTTCTCGTTGGGAGAGTTTGTTAGGGATCCGTCTGCGGAGCGATTAAGCTCATTGACTAAAGTTGAATTGTTAGATGTAGCAGCTCATTATGAGGTTGTGGATATCAAACGTTATATGCTGAAGTCTGACATTTTGAACAAGATTGTCAAGTTTCTGGTTGCTGAAGAGGTTTTGTCTTCAGAGGCGGCGGACAGTATGAGTGTGACTCCTCCAAGGTCTCGGTCTCCGGAATTAAATTCTCAGGCTAGGGCTTCAGTTTCGGATGAAGTGAGGATAAAGGAGTTGGAATTAGAAAGGGCGAGAGTAGAGTTGGAGAGAGAGAAACTGGTTGCCGTACACAGAAAAGAGAGCAGAAATGCTGATAGGCATTTTGACGTTGCAAAGCATGTCAGAATGGTCCCTCCATTCGAGGAGGAAGGGGTGGAAAAGTACTTTCCACACTTTGAGAAATTAGCTCAAAGCATGGGGTGGCCTAGGGAAATGTGTGCTCACCTGATTCAGAGTAAGCTTAGCGGTAAGGCTAGGGATGCTTATTTAGCGATGTCGATGGCCGACGTGTCGGATTACGATAAAGTAAAATCGGGTGTGCTAAAAGCTTACGAACTTGTACCCGAAGCGTACAGGCAGCGATTTCGCAAAGCGCGAAAGGAAGAATCGCAAACTCATATGGAGTTTTCAAGACAAAAAGAGCAATTGTTTGACAGAGGGAGCTCATCTCTCCATGTAGATCATGATTATGATAAATTGCGTGACATTCTTCTGTTTGAGGAATTCAAGCGCAGCGTGCGACTGGATGTTCGTATACATCTCGAGGAGCAGCGCGTCGATTCGCTGGATGAAGCAGCAAGAATTGCGGATGATTTTGTGCTCACACACAAAATCTCAAACAAAATTAGTGTAGAACCTAAGAAGAATGGAAACTGGAGCAAAAGCCAGAAAACTAGTTCATCACAAATAAAAGATGAAATGAAACCGCAGTCCCAGCAAGGACAGGTAACAGAGGAAAGAATATGCTTGCAAACAGTATGGGCACATAAAGTCAAAGTGTCCTTCACTTCTGGATAAGAAACAGGAAGGTAGTGCACATCCTAATGCATTCGTACAAACTGTGTCAAACTCACAAAGTGGAATTATTCCAGCGAACATAGACACAATTCAGAAAGAGTATGAACCGTTTGTGTCTGTAGGATATGTTTCTGTACCAGAGAGTGATGTAGCACGGAAAGTGAAAGTGTTGAGGGATACTGGTGCTTCTCAGTCCTTGATGTTGGAAAGTGCGTTGCCCTTTTGTGGTAGTTCTTCTGTTGGTGCTAGTGTTTTGCTCAAAAGCATTGGAGACGGCTTTGTGGAGGCACCCCTTCATGTGGTAGACTTGAAGTCAGACCTTGTTTCTGGTATGGTGAAGATGGCAGTTAGACCATCACTTCCTGTGGAAGGGGTATCCATCATCTTAGGTAATGATCTCGCTGGTGATAGAGTCGTGTCATGTCCAGTAGTGAGTT